TCACGCATGCACTCATTCGTCTGATTCCTCCTCACTCGCCCACTCGGTCGCTTCCTGCTCGTTCGTTCGTTCGTTCGTTCGCATTCGTTTGGGTTCTGTCTCGATCCGTCGCTCGGCAGTGTTCAGGGACTGGCGACGTGCCGCTTGCTCGAACACTGCTGTCGCCCAACCGTGGTTCACAAACCGCGGCGATCAACGTCCACTAGTGCTGACTCTTTCCGTCATAGCTGTTTCCCAGGTGTCGCAGTTGAAAGTTCGATTTTCATAGCCCCTCTGACTTATCGGAAGCCGTCCGGATTCTTCATCATGCAAAATAGGCATCTAATGTTCATATTTCTGAAGCGGCCTTGTCAATGGTTATGACTGAGGAGCGGAATCGAACCTAACAGATTGCGATCGGAATTAAGTTATCCAATCAGACTTTGTGCCAGAGTCGCGAGCCTGCCGCATGAACGGATTTTTACAGTCATTGTAACCGAAGTTGGCAACGCCATGGAACCAAAATGATCCTCGATGATTTTGTCCAATCATGCACATTACCTGCTAACCAGCCGCCACTCGAAGGTGCGAAGGCGACGTGCAACGAACTTAACTCTACGTAGTGTAGAACTGAATATTTCAAGCGTTCAGTTTTGCCTCACTGCGTTCGAACTGTGAGGGAGTCAGAGATATTCAGGAACTCACTGTGGCGGAGCTTCTCCTGTGAACGTATTTTGTACAATATGTTTTGTAGGCAGTTTTGTAATATTTCTTTGTACCCTCCGGATCTGTAGCTGAAAGGCACATAGGTTATATCTGTCATGTCAGTAAGAAACTTGAACTTGAATACGGCGGTTGAGAATTATGCACAAGTCATCACACAGCCGCCTTGCTTCCTGTGCTTAGAAAGGCCGTTTTCTTTAAAATGTACTTTTGCACATTAAGCTGATTTTTAGTCAGTATTTTATCGGGTGGGTCCAGATGAATATTCAGGGAGGGGACGTCGTAAGCCGTATCATCAGACAGCAGAGACGAATTTTTCTTGTACGCCCTGACATGGCCACACCAAAGCACTACGTTGCAAGTAATATTCGAAAGTCACTGGTCCGATACCCGTTTCAGGCTCGTTACCCCGAGGCACTGTGAGGAAAATTCCTTGTTCAAATATTGTGTTGGGTTTGAACCTGGCAGTTCTAAAGCTCAAGTTAGGCTACTGACCCATTGGGCCAATGACCTGTTTAAGCAAGCGAAGCGATATATATATGAGATTACTCGCATCCCGCCGTTCACCGAGTTGTAGCCGTTGATCAGGTCGTTGGTATTTTCCGTATCCACTGACTGTGTTAATGGCTTTGTCGCATTACAGGGTAATTTTGCCATTACGGGATCTTGATTAGGAATCAGGTATATTTGCCACTCTGCGAAGTCTCTTTATTAGCGACTTGGAGGTGATGTTCAAGTCCATGAAGTAGCTTGCGCCAATTTGCCGAGTCTTCTGTTTCATGCGCGTTTTATGGCGAGTGGTAGTTTGGCAGTCCTTCGTGGTGTCAACCATAATGAACCATGGTTGCGTTTACCCAACCTTCAACCTGTCCACGAATTCCCAGAAGTGGAACACTCTATGAGGTTTTGGTCAAGAACAGATATCACTGACAAATGGCGAGGAGCCCCTTCTGAAATTACATGAGCCTGAGTGCTTTATTATTCGAGTAACTCACCTGCTCGGTTCATCAAGGAGAATGCTATTCAGTCCAAAAGTATTGGAACATCATGACTTTGTGTGTCATTCTTGGTAGCTACTACTAAAATTATCTCAGTTATGGTTTGTGCAATTTTCTAATAATAACTTTGGGCTACAAAGCAGGATTATGCCAAAAGCTGTGAATAAAGACTTGAACAAATTGTTACACCACACATTTCTGAAGTAGCTTTGTTCGCTCAGTCAGCAGTCTAATTTAAGAGCATAGTTCGGCTGTTTTGAGGCCATTTCACGCATATTCATAAATATGAATCAAAGTAATTTCATAGTGTGGATATTTATTCCGCTTTGCCATTTGAAATCCCACTCCTGCCGCCAACCCTGAACTGCATCGAAGCTGTGGCCTTCTTTAGAATGATGAACATTACCTCTTTGTGGATTTTTCCCTTAATTGTAAAACAATAAATCATCTCAAATAACAGCACACAGCTTTATTCATACACAACGCAAAAACTGGCCATTCGGCTAACTGAACAGTGCCAACGTTTCGGTTCGCGTTTATTTGTCCTTCTTGGAGGTAAAAATGCGGTTAGAGTTTGAAAATTGCTCAGGTAGTTGTTTG